GGCTTATTTAATAATTCATTTCCTTTCTGCTTTCCGTGTCTCTCAGGGATAATCCATGAAGTTTTCCTGCAATTCCCACAATCGTCCTGGTTTTCTTGAGCCTATCCTGGCACGGCTTGGTTCGAGGTCATCAGTCAGGGCCCACTCCTGACCCACCCAGCCGCACCTCCTCTTTCAACCTGCTCAATTCCCTTACACCCTCCTTCTTCATTTAGCCATCTCTCCCTTTTGATTTTCCCTTTGACTGTTGCAACCAAGTTGCAAATCCATTGCTAAAAAATGAAATGCATGCCAGTCACTGCACCATTACTAACACCATTGCTGGCATGACCAAGCCAGGAAAAAAAAATCTTGAGTATGCGTGCAGCAAACGAAACTGTACACCCCAGTACACTTCAAACCTCCAAAAACTATTCTTTCATTTGTAGATAAATAATCTTTGGGTGGTTGGCAAAAGCCCGCGTAAGATGCTGCTGAATCGAGGCAGTACCGACATACTTGCTCGACATTATTATCGAATGGTTCACAACATGATCTGGCCTTATGATGATGTTTCCTAGGAGACCACAATAGGATGGTTGTGACTGTGGTCTGGAGAACGGTATGCAAGCAGCCCTGGGAAATGCGGAGCTCAGGGGTATCCCATGCAATCATCAAACTCTGCCTTGCAGAGCGAAAGAAAGCTTAACCAACAGTAGAGATTGCTGTCCTGTGCACTAAACAACTCCTGGTTTTGGGAAGGCTGCCACCAGGCTGCAGTGGGGTGGGGGGGGGTGGCATACCCTTTGGGCCAGACAGCTTCTATTCGTTGCCCTTTGGCTTAAGCGCAGCGCCAGACCTCTCTCCCCTCCTTGGTCTCTGAAGAGGGTCTACCTCTCATGTATGCCCACAGCGTACAATATCATGGTACACGGCAGTGTACCACACATGGGTTACAGCAGTGTGTATGCGAGCATGGACGCCCTCTGTGCACCCCTGTGTTTGATGACGGACTGAGTGCACTGCAGAACGGCATGTGCTCTCAGCAGCGGGAACTCCAGCCTAACGTTGGCTCCAAATCCAGGGCCGGTTAGAGTCGGGCCTGTGCCTTACTTTGGCAAAAGTTACCAAAGTAGCAGCAGGTCAATGGAGGCACCTGCTGGGACTTTTTAGGGGAAAGTCTCCTCTATGGGTCCCAGGCTCGGACCCCCATGTAAGGGGAAGACCTGCCGCTAGAGAGGGTGGATGTGTGTATGTGTGAATTTGCATGTGTTAAGGTTATCGCTGTAGCTATAAATGACCATGTGTCTCTCTGACTGAATACAAAGGAGGGGTACCAGGCCTGGCAGAGCGACCCTGGAAGGAGCTATTTAGCCCGTGGCACTGTCATTCCCCGAGAATCTGAAAAGAAGGCGTTTCAGGACAGAAATTAAAAAAATACCCGCAAATAAACCTTTAGGTCAAACATTTGGGTCAAGAAATTAATAATGTATAAATGCGATTGTACGCACATAACCCAGCATCTTTGGTGGTTTTTGAAAGAGCAAAACTTTAAAACCTGGGTGAGCAACCTCATCTTTGTTACAGTTCGTTTCACTGTGACTGTACATTTCTGGTGCACGCGTACTCCAGCTGTTTTTTTTAGGTAAGAATTTGAAATTAATAACCTGGCTTCCTGGCCACCTGTATTTCTGGTACAAAATTGAAGAAAAATAAAACAAACTTCAATATTAAAAAAGAAATACTGGAGCTGTAATCAGCTGAATATTTGCAAAATAAAACTGAAAACTGTGCGGCATACTATTGAACTCCCACTGCTGGGCCACCTGACGTTCTAAGAGGCATGTTCCGCCAGTGTAAGAGAGGCCAAAGTGAAGCTGTCTAGATCCACGGTCAGGTACGCATACGTTGGTGTTATATTTTTCTTTTTTGTTACACTGAAATGAACACGAATCACAGGTATTCTAAACTGCTGGTCAGTCCGTTTACCTGAAAACCTGTAGAAGTATTTTGTTTATAACCAGCACTGTCACACCATGTGTCTCTGTCAGTGAGAGTGTGGCTTTCAGTCGATTCCCGAGGACACAAAGTGGGTTTGCACGACACCTTTTGTTTAAAAAAAAACTGTTGCACTTTGAAAGATCTTAAGCTGAAGTTCCTGCTATATTTACCATAATCTATTTTTAACTTCAGATTGAGGTTTCCTAATAATAGGAGCTATTCAGACAAGTACTGTTGATAAAACACATAACCTCATTCAACAGCCACAGCAGATTGTCATGTAAACTGTAATATTTAGGTCTCTGGACGTTGAGATAAAATGTGTTCTGTTTGTGTTTTTTTTTTTTTTTACATAGAAATTACTGCTGTCATAAATACTGAGGTAATTTTGAAATGGTTGATTGTGATTAATGGTCTGTGCACTCCCTGTGTGCTGGAAGAAGGAATGAATGTCACACTTTGGAATACCGTTAATCTCTCAGGCCCTATGGCTGCAAAGCCGTATGTAGTTCTGTTGTTTTTTTTTCTCAAAATGAAACCTGTATATGTGAGTGAAACCCCAGATCCACATTTAGACAGAAAATTTCTATCTTAATGCTTGAAGGCACTTAAAGACCAACAGTGGATCAATGTTTCACTACAGTCTCAACCTAGCAATACAGCACATATACCTGGTTAACCAAGGTGGTAGTACATCAGTTGAAATTAAGAAAAAGTGCCTACAATTCCTTCACAAGGTCAGTCTGCTGCTAATCATTAAATCTCAGATCCTGTTTCCGTTTCACACTGTACCTGACTTTGTGTCAGCCTTGTTTTTGGGCAAAATTTCTTTTTAATGTGAGGTGCACCTTATCCGAGCCGTGAAAACCCAAACTCTCTAATAATAGCGAATAGACAAGACTTTTATTGCTTGGATGCATCGACTTTAGGGAAAGCTTGTGGTTTATGGGTTTTCAAGAGTGCAGCGAGTCAAGCCTTGCTGGGATAAGGACCCTTCATAAAAAAAGAAGAGGTTTAAAATCCCCCCTATCAACATGAACCTTCAATCAGAAACCCGTTTGAAGTTTTGGGGTTGGGGGCAAAGAATTATAAGGTCCAATGTTTACTTGGTGAAAAAGACACTGTGGCCTGAAGTGTTTTTGAGATGAAGGTTGAACTGGACAATGTAACGTGGTGAAGGTAAGAGAGATGTGTGTGAAGACCTCAAAGGACACTTTGCAGAAGAATCGGTTGGCACAGGTGGGGAGGGGTTTGGAAAGCGGCACACTCCCGCTACCTCGAGGATGCCAACATCGTGCTACGAAATGGAACTGGAATTCCTGGGAAACGACGGATTCCTTGAAAAGACGAGGGACAGCGAGCGGACTTTAGGAAATGAGGTTCCTCAGAGGAATTGCAATGGGAAATGGCGAGAATAGAGCTTGTTAGAGTGAATGTGTGGATTTTGCAAGCTGGTGTACATTGAGACCGATGCCTAAATGATGTACTATTCCACCACAACTGCCTGTCGATCATTATTTTCTCTTCCTGTTTGCACCCAGCTTCACGGTCGGCTTTGAACACTACCTGTTTACTCTACCGGCCTCCATGAACCCCAGGGGAAAAGAGGGAGGTGCTGATCAGGGCCATCGCACGGATTCCCCCTGAGCGTTACATTTACGTCTGCTGGCGTCTGACCAAACTTGACCATCACCACATAGTTATCGTGGTTTTCAGAGCAGCCTTGCAGTTTCATTTAGACTTAATGTAATGGGGGAAAGTTGAAAGGGTTCGAGTTGCAGTCAGAGTTATAAGGGATCTGGGGGGGTTACAGACGGGGTTGAGGATAACAAGAACCTAGTTAAAGTTATATATATATATATATATATATATATATAACCAACATTATTTTTCAGATGTAATTATGGGTGAAGTCTTCCCTGGTAATTTTCCTAAGCTTGTGTGTAAATGAATAGGTTCATTTGCAATATTAGTTTAGGCTGCGAGGTAAATAGTCTCATCTGCTCGCTGTAATATATAGCTTAATTTATTGCTGTAGACATGTGAATCTTGATGATTATACCATGACGAGAAGCAGGATTTCCAGCGGTATGTGAAACCTTACTCGCTAGCGGGTTCAGTTTAGCCTGTCAGTTTATTGGTTTGTTTGTGTGGTCGCTACGGAAACGGGATGAGTGACAGGCACCCCAGTGCTCCCAGCTGTTGTCCCTCCGCTCTTAAAGAATCCCCATTAACGCCCAGTTGTTGCATTGAGATCTCTCCCGACAACAAGGGGAGGGGCTCTGATGTCATGAGTCTGACACATCTAGCGCCAAGCGATATATTACGTTTGAGGCCGGCCAGAAGACACGTGTCCACAGACCATTGCAGCCGTAGCTTAATTTTAATGACAGTTTATCAAAGGACGTTTAATGTCGGCATCGCCGAGAGCTGAAATAGTCGTGCTCATTGTTTGATCCAAAGTATGAGGAATGCACACATTTGCACCGCCCTATTCATACCTCGTCCAAATCAGCAATATATTTAGCTCCTTCGAGTGATCGTTCCAAAACACTTGAAAGGCGAGAGGTACTCGAGATCCAACACTCCTAATTAGTCGTATGAGCGTCAGTGCCATCCATGTCCCTCGGTGTTTATTAGAGCAGTAATGCCTCATTGGTATTAGGTGTCATACTGCTCTCCAGTGCACCCGTCACTGCCCCATGTCCAGACGGGGCCCAACTGGACCTGCGGAACGACGACCCGGTAGGCCAGCGTGCAACATCCAGGGACCTCCGACTTCCATCCCAGCAGAGGCACACCGGGCGGTGTTGCCATGACGCCAACAGCCCCGGGGCAATTTCCAAAGAGAACACGTTGTACCCGTTCTCCTACCCAAGGCTGCTGAGCCGTGAGTGGAAATAAGAGTCAGAGAGGTTCCATAGTCTTAGCTGCCTTACCAAAGAGCATTCCACACACACACACACACACACACACACACACATACACACACACTATTCTCAGAGGACACTTACCAGGGCGAAGATAAAACACAGCCAGACTGCTCGTTTATTGCATTCACGTGGACATTTCTTCATATCAGGAGCACAATCACAGCAATTAAGGCTCTCCCTTGGCTGCACTAGCTTAGTGGAAATGGAGGGACAATATACATGCCAAAAGAATAGAAGTTTGTCCTTGCCAGGTGATTAGAGTAAGTTAAATGTTTGGACAGCCAAACCCAATTACTTGAGCCAATCTATAGGCCAGTTAATGACAGTCTGCATGCCATGGTCAGGTTTAAGGAATGATATGAAGGACCAGAACTACACTTACTGAGAGGTCTACACCCAGGTCTACAGTAAGGTCAGGATATTCCCCCTGTCGCAGGGGCAATTCTGTGATTTTTTTTAAAGAAAATGTATCCAAAAGCCAATAAAATGTTATGAATCAGTGAGTGACAGGGGAGGAGGCACTCCAGGGGCCAATCAGCTTTCAGCTGAGGCTAGTAGCCCTGTGGCCCCGCCCCTGAGTATGCCCCGGCCCAACCCAGTCGCCATCCTTGGTCCACCACACCTAGACGCCCTCAGCTACTTCTTTCTGGCATTTAAGGCCTAGTTTCAAGTTCAAAATTTACATTGTTAATTAGTGTTTTTGTAAACGGTCACACATCAGGTGGAGCCAGAGACGACTTCATACAACATTTAAACGTACATGCATGCGTAAATGTTTTTTAGCATACGACAAAGTGTGTACTTGGAACAAAGGATACTTGTAAATACCCATATAAAAACAAATTCAAATAATATATTAACAGAATAATCCGAAAAGGCACCAATGTTCCCCAATACCAATAATATGTATATTTTTGCTTCGCAAAACAAATATGTAAACATTGCATGTGTGACTTTCCTTGGCTATGCATTCCCACATCTCACTGTCGGCTTGAGAGATTCATTTCAGGACATTTTCCTAAATAATAAATAGAACGGGAGCTCAGCTGGGGGGTCGGGGTGAGGTCCTTTGTCCACAGCACTCCTCTGCTCATCCCGCTAACCCCCACGAGAGCTGCCACACTCCCGGGGTATCCTGGAGTGGGGGATCTGGGGGTGAGCAGGGCCTACCCTTCAAACACCTTCTTGCACATGTTTGAGTTCTCCTGGTGCAGGGGGAATTCCGAGCCGGGAACAAGGCCCTTCCTGCCTTTGCGGGAGATAAAGCTTTTCCCAGATGGAAGGCCCTCATATTTTGTTAGGGTCTCTCTGCAAGGGATGGAGATCACATGATCATGATGGGTTTTTTTGTTTTTGTTTTTAGAAACACACCACACACACCACAGTACACAACAATGAAATGTGTCCTCTGCATTTAACCCATATGTGACATAGCAGGGGGCAGCTAATTCAGCACCCGGGGAGCAGTGCTTGGGGGCGGTACCTCAGTCGGGGATTCGAACCAACAATCTTTGAATTACGAGTGCGCTTCCCTAACCATTAAGCCACCACTGCCCTTCTAGTTTCGTTGATAACATTTCAGTACAGGATAATACACCAGAAAACTTCTTCCAGTATAGTAACCCTTGCTATTCATGAGGGTTAGCAGAGGAACATTGCATCCACCATTGTGTATATTGGCGACCGGTGGCAGAGCAACATCCACAGCAGCTGGGCTCACCTGAAGGGGAAGGTGGCCTTATCCATCTGCAGGCAGACCAGGAATGGATACTCGGAGAACTGGACCGTGGTGACGAAGTCCAGCGATGCCTCGGACTCAAAGCCGAGCTCCATTCCAGCGCGTGCGAACTCCAGGTCCACAGTCACGTTTGCACTCATCACCAGCGCACCTCTGGGAGACGGCAGTGAGACAAGCCGAATGCCACGGTCAACAGCAGACTTTGGCAGAGGCAACAAGTAGAGTAGCAGCTAGGAACGACGACATGCGGATCCGCGTCGGAACACCTTCCAGACCAAGATGCGTAATGAAATACTCGTACGAATTTTCCTACTGGGTGAATGCGGCCTGTGTGCTTTATTTTATTGAATTCTAAACGGACAGTGACAAGGCTGTGTGTTTACGAGCACCTTTGCAGAGGTGTGCAAGTTTGTCCATATAGTAATGACCCCAGCAACCGCTGACAATGGCCCCCATGCTTACTGTAGTCCTATAGATAGCCTGACGCGTTCAACAGAAGATGGGATATAAGACCAGCAGCAAATCGCACACCTGCCGCTGTCATTCCCGCATGCCGGTGCAAACCCAACGCCAAATACCACCCAAAAGAGCGGTCCAAGAGACCGGCCCAAAACGAGGACAGGCAAAGCTCGCCGACACGCCGTCAGACGACAGCCGGGACGTCTTGTTACAGTTACCCGTTAGAACCCGCCCAATGATGCAGGCCACGGCAAACGGCTAGCACCATTAGCAACATAGCCAATGCTAAGGCTAACATTTTTTAATTCAATACTTAATGTTACTTTTCATTCCGAAATACGGTAAAATTTCATGAGAAAATGGAATTTTGACAATCGACTGATATTCCTGAATTTCAGAAAACACTATGTATGATAGCATAATGAATTAAAATGATTTGTAGAGCTCACTTAGCTGGCTGCGACCACATGACTGGCATGTTCCGCGCCATAAATCATCCTCTCCCCTGCTCTGTAGTAAAGAGGGTATGTTAGGCAGCTAACGGCGAAATCCTGGGTGTAAATCCATCACCGAGTGTACGCATGACCTGCCCTTCACCCGGTACACCAGAGGGATGTGACCCAACTCACAGAGCCTTCCCGACCACACCGCAGCCCACATCGATCCGTAACGAGCCAGGTCCGCTCTCCGGGCCTCACACCCAAGGAACAGACCCCATACCTGTTGTTTACGCTGGTTTTGGACTCCCGGTACCACAGGCTGATCTCCATGCCGCCCGAAATGTCAATGGCCAACCCTCCCTGGAACTCAATGCTGGCTTTCAGCCCAGACTGTAATTGGAGGACCTGGGGTAGGGGATAGAGGGGGGGGCGGGGGGGGGAGACGGTCCGCACGGAAGAATTCAAAAACCAGCAAACAGCACTGGACTGTGGAAAGATGAAATGAATATGGCTTCTCAAGCAATGACTGCCTGCAGGGCATTTCAAGCTATCCGGTGTAGAGGTCTATTCTAGGCATCCCCAGCCTACGGCGCCTGTACCCCAAAGGCATTTTTCTTAATTTATTACTGCTTATATACAGGCGTAATACTCCTGTAATGTATACGAAACATGCAACTGTTGCTTACAGTAGATTTATTACAGTTTAAATGCAGCCCAAATCTCTTCCTTTACGTCGCCAATCAACTCCAGCCACGCAGCTTCAAATCTCACAAACCCTTTCATCCGCCGTAAAACAACTATGGTAATCCGGCCTAAAACTTCACAGCCCAGTGAAGTGGCTTCCTGATGGAGGACCCCATATATCCCCCTTCATTGCAGAAACCAAAAGCATTCCGCTAAAGATGGACTAATTGTAATGTTACAAGACTAATATCTTGAGGTAAGAACATCAAAGGTTACCGGCACCAATGCATTAAAAATCTGCGACTGCAATCCCCAGACAGGGTGTATAAAGTAAGGGTTAATGCATGACAGGCCATGCATTATATGTTTTTAAACATTATACGTTAAGCATCACGTTATATTATACATCATAATTGTTGTTTACAAGCCAAAAACATATTTATTAGTAGAACTACTTGGTTCCGCCAATGATTAAATATTTCTGTTCAGTTACCGTTAATTTTTAAATTGTGTTCTAAAATTTTAAGAAATATTACCTAGAATTAAATATGATTATAGCGCGTTAACCTACTGTGAGTAACTGGTTATAGAAAATGAATTAAGATCCTTCTGACCAATCAGATCTGAGAACAGCGCCATGCTATAAACCATATTATTTAGTGCAGACATTAATTGTACGGTTGATGCAAGTGAAGGTAGGTGTTTAGAGCAGTGTTTCCCAATCCGGCCAGTTCACATTTTTGCTCCCTCCCAGTTCCCCGGTAGCTAAAATGTGGACTATCAGGGAGGTCAGTGGGAGCAAAAACATGAACCGGCTTTGGGTCCCCGTGGACCGGCTTGGGAAACACTGGTTTAGAGTGAAGGCAGTGTGAGCTCATACCTGGGAGTGGTCCAGCAGCAGTATGAGGCCTTTCACTACGTTCATGGGGTCTCCAGACATGGAGAACATCTTGGACATAAGGTCGCTGTAGCCCTTGAAAAAGGTGACGGGACGTAGCTGCACGTCAAAGAGCAAAGCCGACATGCCGGCAAAAGACTCCAGCTCCTCTTCACCTTCATCGGGCGTGGTGGCAATCAGGGACTCCAGGCCCTGCGCCTCGATGGCCACCTGGGAAGCAGGAGTTTGTCACGTCACATCAGCTGTGACGTCTGCCCTGTTGTCACCTTGACATTCCTGTGGGGCATCGTTTCTCCAGCTTACCTGAAGACCATGCAGATGGAAACCCCCACTGAGAGCGAAGATGTTCATGTTGCTTCTACGGAGGACCCCGGACCCGGAATACAGGAGGTCAAGGTTGTAGATGGTGGTGATGTCCGTCTCTTCTGCAGGAGGACAGTCATCATCAGTGGTTAGAAAGTTCAGGTCCGGAAAGTAAAAATCCAGACCAAGATTTTGTTTCAACCGACCGGTTTAGTACTCTGTCAGTGTGACTCTTTATACTCAACTGGTTGGATGAAAGAAAACCGTGGTCTGGATTACTACTTTCTGAACCTGTACTTTCCACCTTTGTTCATCACAACTGCACATATTTTGTTGTTTTGTGTGTGTTACAATGCACAACTGTAGGAATACACCCAACAGAAATTCCCCACAACACTGGAAATACAGAAATACTGCTACACAATTCATTCATTAAAAAACAGACTCAACATTATAGGACTATGATAAGGATTCACCTAGAACCACAGCCATGGCAGAAGAAAGTAAAGGTAGAGCAAAAAGAGAAGATCACCCACTTGTCATGTAGCCCGAGAAAGCAGAGGAGGACCCCAGCTTGGAGAAGCGGTCATAGTTGTGTGTATTCATGTCCTTCAGGACTTTCTTGATCACCTTACTGAAGAACCACAAACAAAAGTCACATTCATTTCTGATCCAGTTCTGTAAATTCTCACATACATGATATATGGTTATCAGCACCAGATCAGAACTATCAAAGCACAACAGGACTATTATTTGTTTATATTTCCTATTCACAATGACACCAGCACTCTTAGCAACCTGCAACAAAATGATTTTACCATAATGCATTAGCTAAAGATACTTCATGTAAGAGAGCCACACTACAGCCTACTGAGAGAGCAGCCTCGCTACCACTGGACTACACTTCCCAGCACGCACCTGGCAGGCATTTCGAAGCGCAGGATATCCTGCACCTTGGACAGCATGTACTTGTTCATCTCGTGGGGCAGGTGCCCGATGGACAGCAGCAGGTTTTTCACTTCCATGTACGTGGGGCTGCTGCTGAAAATGACGTCGGCGGCCGCGGCCCGAACGTTCTTCTCGAAGACCCGCCGGTTCTGGTGGTAGATGCGGTTCAGAGTCCGTTTCACCTGGATCGTGGGGAAGCCAAAAGATTTAAGCATGGCCGCCCTTCCAGAAAAAGAGAAAAAGACCTTCTGTGCTCCTACATCAGTTATAAAACACCAGCGGAGTGTATTTGGTTGTCAGGTCAAATTAAGAGTTAATGTTGGAGGAAAGCAAACCCAACAGGCTTCTAGGACGGTCACTGAGTGTCTCCACTCTACATTGTTGGTAATGGTTATCAGAACAGAAGGAAACTGAACAAAACATTACCAAGCTAGCGTTTGCTCAACAAACCCTTCAAGTTTGTTAAGGATCCCACGCTTAAAGGCCAGATTTGCCAAACCTGACTCCTGGTTTGGCTTCATGTCTTTTGGTTATCATTAAAAGCCATATCCATTTCCATAATTTATTTGGCCCAGTTAGTAATTAAGTATCTGTCAGTTATCTGTCCCGTGAAGCAGGTCATTCACGAGTAAATGTCATCACAGCGGACATGTGGTTTGTGCATGTCCAGGCCCCACGCTGACACAAGTCACTCACCTCGTCTGTGATGAGATGGAAGTTGTATCTCTGCAGGGCCGTGATGGCGATGGTGCTGTAGGCCCCGACCTCTGATTCGGTGTACTTGGTAAGCACTGGGATGGCCTCGGGGACCAGTGCATTTTTCATGGCCAGCAGGTACATCTGCACGTCTGACTCCACCTGTGTGCTGTCAGGACCCTCCAGGATCAGGTTCTTGACTTCCACTACAGTCTGGGGGTGAATGGGTTGGGGTTAGGGTTGGGTTTAGGGTTGGGGCTACAACAACGCAGCATCAGAGCTGCCTCCATGTCACCTTGCTTAGCATATGGGCTGGATTACGTGCTTAAACAGATTCCACTAGCCACCTAGCAAGCGATGACATGCAAATTGATGTGACCGTCTAACTACACCGCAGCCAGAAAAGGTCAATGACATCCAGACACTGTCACTCAAGCGGAAAATGACAAGCGAACTCACAGGCAGGTCACAGCCCCCTTTCTGACAGAGCTTCCGGACGAGGGCACCCATGATGATCATCACCGACTCTCTGATGTCATTACTGGTGATCTTCCCTTTCCACAAACCCTGGGTGAAGAGACACGGTAACTTAGATTACACAGACAGCTTATGTGCATTTGGCAGAACGTAAAAACAAGTTACACCAATAAAACAAGGATCTCCAAGCATAGATCGCCTCAAATCCAAAGGCTGTCCATCTATTAGGAAGTGAGAAAGTGTGTCAAATCCATAAATCATGTAAGCTCAGTACAACTAACCCAATTACGCTACGTCACATGGGTGACCAAATGTCTACACAATTATATTGGCAGATGGGTCAACCATATTCGAAGCTACAAAAACAGGAGTCCTGTTTGGACTACTAACAACATTCAGTCTATAATACAGATATATTTTCAGATCAGAATGCATGGACAAACATCCAATGCTAGATTGAAGACTTTATTCCATATGAAAGGCAGATGAGTTCATGTCCTCAAGACAAATAGAGGGTGGTCCTCCTCACCAGCAGGGACTTCAGCAAATCCTCGTTGGGGTGGGAGGCAAAGCCACAGGCGTAGAGGAACCGCTCCTGCAGGACCAGCTGCTTCGAGTTGGAGAAGTCTATGAACTCCAGGATGGCGTCCATGGAGGCGGGAGTCTGGGCGGAGGTGACGGAATCCACCAACTGAGGCCTGCCAGCGAGGAGATAGGGGCAACACAGTCACAAACACGGGGCAAACACAGCACCAACTATAAATTTGTACCCTCAAGGGCTCCCACCATATACAACAATAGCTATGTGATGTAATGTCCTGGATGAACCAAGCTTATGTAATAGTTCCATCAAAAAGAAGTTCTCCTGAAGACTGAAACATTCAACTGTGGTTAGGATTCGCCATATATTGGCTCAAACCAGAAGACAGTGTGGGTCTGCGTGGGCTTACAGGGCTGTCTTGGTGCTGTTCCTCAACACTCGAAGGATCTCCTCCTTGGAGGCTCTCCTCAGGGTCTTAATCAGCCTTAGGAAGGTGCGAGGTCCCGTAGCTCTTGACAGTCTTTCTGGTTCCAGGTCCTTGTGAACACCCCGCCAGTGCTCCCAGAGCTTGGAAGGGGGGGAGGGGGCATCCAGAAGACGGTCAGATTACCGAAATATTTCATTAAAGTGCCACTAATGGCGTGAACTCCACTGAATGTTCCAGACACTTACAGAAGGGCAACCCTTGCAGAGATGCTTGCCCTTCGGCGGTGACGGGGTAATGACGACAAAATCGGCGTCCAGCGATTTGATAACGGTGGTGACCTGTTTTCCGGCACTTTCCTGAGGTCCAGGCTCTTTTTTCACCAGCACCAGTGACTGCCTAAAAAAAAAACAATAGAAATCAACTACAGCAGAATGCGGATTTTCCCAGAAGCAACCTCCCAGGACACCTGACGGCCCCATCCGGTAAACACACATATATAATGCAGTAAAACGGCACATCTGAAACTGCAGCCTAAGATCACGCTTATTTGAGGCCTGTGCAGTAAGCGCTCAGGAAGGGTGCTAAGCCTTGGATAAGCCCTCCTGCGGCCTCCCAACTGAGAAACCCGAAATCAAACACGCAAGCCCAAGTTTAAGCACTAGCTGTAGCAGTAAGTGGAGGGAAGGATTGCAGTGACAGGACTGAATGCCAAAAACACAGCATATTTCACAGCAATAGTGACTAGTTAGGTATTAGGCCAATGTCAGTGTATTTAAAGTAAAACACTTCTGTAAATCTGTAATGGGTTTCCCATTGTTGTATGGTTGTATTCACTGTCGGAGGTATTTTTGCACAGACCTACCTGGAGACCACTTTGGTGGCAATGGTGCGACGTGCATTGACAGAGATGATGTGCGTCTCCTCGGAAACGGCCGACTTGATGAAACCTTCATGCAGGGTGAACTCCGTGATAGAGGAGGACTTGCCATTAACACCCAGGACCTGTAGGGGGAGACAGAGAGCAGATGGCACAGAGCTATACTGATCACTAATAAATGCCAGTTGCAGGAACGTTGTATGTAGGCATCAGCAGAATCCTCCTTAAACACATGAAGGCTTACAGTGCTCCAGGTCATCCTGACTTCCTAATGATCTGATCAGACAGACGCTGCTTTCCAGAAATACCAGTTTTATCCCCATAAAGAAATGGTGAAACGTCACTTACTGGGTTGAGTGTGGTGAATCCCGTCTCAGCCGTCTTACAGCTGTCCAGCAACTTAACCCGGGTCACCTGGTCCTTCCCGACCTTGTACTCCACTGCACACCTCCCCGAAACGTCCACCTGATTCCAAATGGAAACGACGGCGTCGAAGGACATGTCACATGACCAGGCCACCAATCAGAGCTCACGGTTAATAAACGGCTAATAAACAGCTGCACAGTTTTTAATCACATTTCAAGTGTATCATATTTATGTTCAGCTCTCTGTTAAAACTGCCGTATGATCAGAAAATTTCCCTCTAGGATCAATAAACTTAATCTAATGTAATCTCGTCTAATTTAATTACATGAGTATTAACGAGCTCGTGTAACAAGGCCCTTGTGGCCGTCCGTGTCACCGCGCCAGCGACAGAGGACTAGACGACAACCTCCTCCACTTTTCCGGAAGTGAGCTGCAGCTGGAGAAGGCTGGCCACGCCCCTCTTGAAGTTTCTGATTACTGCAGGTTCATTCTGGTACGAGTACAGGCCCTTCACCTGCCACGAGGAAACAGAACAGTAAGATATTATTTCCAGACAGTCATTTACAGTATAACTGACACTGAATGATCATTTCATGCAAAAAAGAGGTGCGTGGCCCAGTGGGTTTTAACACTGCGTCTGCGATCAGAAGGTCGTCGGTTCCGATCCCATAGTCAGCAGAGTGATTTCACAGTTGGGTGCTTGAACAAGACCCCTAACCTCCAATTGCTTTCTCAAAAAAACATACATAGCTTTGGATAAAAAGTATCTGCTCGTTAAGTTAAAATCTCCTGTTTACTCTCTCCTGCCATAAACCTTTAAAGCAAACGAAAGAGAAGCTTTAGACAACAACCAAATCTCAACGCTCCATATCTGATAGAAACGTTTCCAGTAAGGATCCCAGCATTCGGCACGTCCTGGCTAACGGTACGTCAAGTGCCCTTTACCCGACGTGGCACACCAGCCACGCTGACCTGCCCGTGTTGTCACGGCGATCTCAAGGGCAGCCTGACACGCCTCACACCCTGACCTTTGCGCACGAGTGCCAGGTGTCTGGAGTCTGACTTTAGGTAAGCTGGGATGAGCTCACTAAATACCTGGGACATAATCCTTTGCTATTATAACGTCTAAGGTTACTATTGACTCTAATAGACTCTACAGCAAGGTCGCCCTGTAGAAAGGGGATGACCGACTGTCTGAATGGCCTTGAACTGCCTGCATTCACAGAACATTCATGCATTCACTGTACAACCAACTGGGCCGTTACTACCGAATTCCATGCAGTACTTTCCCCGACATTCTTTGCACTGTTACACTTCATTGTAATTTATTATTTGTTACTCTCTGAATGTGTTGTGCTACTGTAAACCTGAAACTTCCTTGGGGAATAAGTATCTGCTTAAGTACTTCTGTAATACTCCGCACACCACCGGGAGGCCTGCCTTACCATCATTCCGCCATTCAGTGTCCCCGTGTGCACTTGCCAAATACATTAACAGAATGCCCATCACATCGCTCACCTTCCCAAGTTTCCAGTGCACCAGGAACGGTCTCTGCAGCGTCTCCAAATTGCCTTTTCCCAGAATGCTTTGGGTCGTGGAGCCAGCGAGTATATTTTTCTTTTCCGGACGTGGCGTAACGTTCTCGATCTTCACATCTCCGATCTGCGGCAGTCAAAGAAGAGCTGGAATGACATCTGTACACACACCCCCCCCCGCCCCCCAACCAGTGCTATAAGTTGATCTGGGCATTTCACACTCCCTCAGAAGAGGAGGTTTCATCAAAACACTTGTTCCACAAAGACGTTGACTGTGAGGGACCCAAAGTATTTAATGTATATAACAGACTGACGCGGCCTACTGACATCTGGGGTCGCAACCTCACACCTTCACAGGAAAGCAAAGCCCCCATAGCAGGCTGGAGCCAATCAAAGTCGTCTTTCATCGCCATGGCAGCTGGTTTCCTGATTCCTGCCGGCAACACAGGAAACGGACCCAAAGCCCTCATTTAACCCAGAGTCACATACCAGCACTCTGAGTAGCTGATCATCTTTACTGCTTGGATTTCTCCACACCAAGTTGATGTCAACGCTGGATGAAACCCTATAGCCGGCGCTGCTCTCAGACGACCCCTTGGCCCTGTCCAACAGCACTTCAGTGGAGTAGCTGAATTTGTACAGCTGGCCATTGCTCAGCCTGGGCCCGACGACGCCACCTGGAACAACAGGGGAACGTGCTTTCAGGAAAAACAAAGACGAGCAATGAGTGACATGTGAAAGGGAGCTTCTCCTCTCTCCATACAACGGAAGGCCTATTCCAAATATCTCCCCCCCCCCCATCCTCAAAAACCACCGCCAAATCCATGATGTAATCACTCGCCGTGCCTCTGACAGGGCCGGTGTTATCACTAATACACTGTTGGTCGTTTGTTAAGTTCACTAATGCCTCGTATTCACATGAATCACTAGAAATGTGTCTCGTATCTCCACACCTGATAGTAGGATGGAGTTTTGCGCTATTTCAGACCAGAATAGGTAAGGGTTACGGGTGGGCAATCTTATCCTCAAAGGGCTAACGAATATGCAAGTATTGGGGTAACCTTTAGGTCAGCTGTTCAGACCCAGGCGTGAGGACTCTTCAGGTAAGCAGTCCCCTAATTAGTAATCTAATTAGGGAGTTGCAGCAAAAACCTGCACACATACAGGCCCTTTCTGGTTTCCCACCCCTGGGTTAGGGTAATAAATACTGCTAGTGGGATTAATGAACTCACACACCAAACCCATGGGCCAGCAGAGATGCCACCACCTTTGTGATGAAGAGACTATTTTGGAAACGGTTCCAAGGAACTCATGTTGATTCGACGATGCTTCGGGTGAACAAACTGAAATCCAGCTCAGTCACACTGCAAACCGAAACAAGCGCCCTGTCTCGAGGGCAGGAGTTATCGAGGCATGACTCAGTGATGAGGGAACTATAGACTGACGTGTCACTGTTAGGTTGCATCATCAAGTTCAAGTGTTCAGAACTGCAGAATCACTAATGCTATTCAGTTCTGGGATTTTCAAGATATAGGACAGCAACTTGTTCATAAAAGTTCTCACAAGAAAACTACAACGTAAACACGATCCACACGCTCATAGACATTTAGCATAACAATTAACCAGTTATCCTTCACCGTATTTTTGCTGTAATAAGATGTTCGGCCTTGGACTAATAAAACTAACGGACTAAAATCACACATTAAGACTTCAGCTTGCTTGAAAAAACTACAGCTGACTGTATACAAGAATCTTAACAACCTCAAACTCTGGAAGTAAAAACCTAGGAACTATTAATTAAACTGCTAAAGTTAACGTTTTCTGTAAATCCATACCTTCCATAAATGCTTTTACGGCAAATGCCAAATTTCCCCAACATTAAAAGCAAATTTAAATCAAAAATGATTAATGAAATGAAATTATCAATAGTAACAGAAATTACATTAAATTGCAGATGTCACTCACCTTCAACAGAGGCAGGCAGACAGGGCGAAATCGTGCAGAGGAGAATGAGCACCGATCTAAACATAATGTGCCTTGTGGCTGGGGGGTACTGGGGAATCAAACTGGGTGTCCTCGCGCCGTCTGAGTGTCCGCAGAGAGGAGCAGAGCCGCTCCGGGGCCGTTTATCAGGTTGGGGGCAGAATCCAGACTCCACGCTCCGGTACTAAGGTCACGCCGCCTGTCAATGATCAACCGGCCGATAAGCGGCCGCCGTGACAGGGGCGTCGACGCTGAGGAGCCCCTGGTGATGCGGCCGGTGCCGATAGTGATGCGATGCGCCCCCGCCGCCCTGTTAAATGCGAGCCTATTGAAATCAATGATCAATGTCTTCTTCTTAATTGGATTTAAAACTCAAAAGACAGCGCCTCGGTTTGAAAGGATTATTCTGCACGTAGACGGATTTTGAGGGATATTTAAAAGAAATCAACTTAAAGTTTAGTTTCCAGTTGTAATGTCAGCCAGCCCTTGAAATTGGGGAAAAAAATAAAAATGAATTTTTGCATGAGTAATACAGCATCTTGATTTTAAAATCTGGCCATATTCTTAAAAAAATAAAAAATAAATCAAATACATTTGACGCGAAAGGGTGAACTTTAGGTCAATAAATATATCTATACATCTGTAGTATTCTCTTCCGATTGGGCAGCTGTCGTCTGTTTTATGTGTCTGTGGTGGAAAACCTTTTTACCCGCTTTCAGGCCAGACATCGTGCAGCCTGAGTCCGGGCGTCCTGGCCGCTTCTTGGGGGGGGGGCCAACAGAGTGCGAGCCGGCCAGCCTGTCTATGGACTTCTGTCTACATCAAACTGGCACTCGGATGCAGCGCTAACGCCACATATTTCATTTCTAACTACTGTCATTCGATAGAAGTGTATGCACTGCAATGCATTTCTCCGGCTGCTTTTACTATCATAAGTCGTTTCCCGCACCATGCATAACGCGTAAAGGAGATTTTTAAAAGTAAAATTCGCAAATATACTGTAGATCCGTTTTATCGGATGGATTTGACTTGCTGACGACAGACGCCTTTTGAATTAAACTCTGTTTCACTTTGACTTCATGGTGCAGGAGCCGCGCGAGCTGATGACGCAGGACGCCGGACGTGGAATCAAAGAGAGAAAGAAACATTTATAACCCCAAAAGGGATTGTACTTAATAAGAGAAGTATATGGAAACTGTAATATTTGATATATTTAAGCGTGATGTTATCACAGATATTCATGCTCTGATCAGTATTATCGCTGATCAGTAGCTGAATCATTAAGAAATTATGTGTGGGACGGTGGTGACAGAAGTACATTACTAGAAATGCCCGGGTATTCCAGTTATAATGACTAACTCGGCCAATTATCAGCCCAATCTGTGTGTGCTGATAATGTATTTTTGAACTAATCAAAATCAAGGTCCAAGTTCGACTGAACACTCTTTTCCTGTATTTTCCACGCGTCTGATTAGCAGAATCAATACCTTGATTTTCTTGAGTAGTTGCAAAAGCAACACGGATTATAGCTTAAGTTGGCTTTACGGAGAGGGAAATTAAATTTTTACGTTAACCTGATTTTATATGTTTTTCCCCCCCGAAAAAATGTGTCATTCTTTTAGATGTGTAAACTATATTTTTATATCTTTAGGTTATGAAGGAAAAAAAGAATAATCAAGGGAAAATGAGTGTTGTGCAGATTTTTCTTAAATGTCCTTACATTCTGCATGTACGTTGTTCCGGTTTCAGTCCTTCACCTGAGGCGCCCCTGAGTTGCTAGTCTGGCGCCCTCTGCTGGCAATGAGGATTATGTGCCGCACGTCGCAGCATGTGGCTGTAATGCGGTAAATATCATGTCGCCGAAACGCACTATTTATATTGATTTAGTCATTCACATTCAACATTAATAGCAGAAGCTTACACGCCTACACATCCGCAGACCAATAACACAACAACAGCACAAGCGAAACAACGACAAAAATCATAAAATGATAAGACTCTAACTCCATATCGACAGGAAGATACGAACACCCAAAAAACGATAAAAAACAAAAAAACAAAAAAACAAAAGAATCACAGCAAGTCAGCAAAATATGCAAAGATGCGATGTTGTTATACAGGTACACATGGCCCTGCAGCAACGCAAAAACCTGAAGGGCTGCACAGCGCCAAAAAGACCACAACAGTGAAACAGTAATACCGCAGAACGCAGCAGCGCAGCGGCGTGGTGAGGGGGGGACAGGGATGCATGAATGTATAAACACAAACACAATAAAATCACAGAATTTAAAGACTGACAATCTAGAGATGAACAGAGAAACATAGACACCAAACAGTCAAACAGCTAAGCACAGACTTGCACTAATAAACAAATAAGGAACACTGGAAAAATTCACAAAAGCACGAAAGAAAGATGCAAAGACACCAAACCACACAACTACACAACGCAGGAACAAACCAAAAAACCAAAAAAGTAAGAAATTACCCAGTAAGACAGAAATACCGAAATTGGAAACAGCGAACAAGCTACCAAAACCCAAAAAAGCATGACACCACCACACACCCAAGCACATCAAGACAGACAGAGTGACAACTCACCAAAGCAACAGAAGGACATGAGGCCACTGGCAGCCTCGCAGGCACGCGGGCAAGCACACAACCACACACAAGCACAAAAGCATGAGCAAATCAGCAAACCAACTCACGAACCTGGAAATCTACATACCGACTGACAAGCAGAAAACAAGAAGCCATGGGCTCAGAGGCTGACAGTGGAACCCAGGACCCAAAGCCCCAAAAACACAAGAAAACACAACACCATAAGAAACAGCAAAACAGCACACAGCCACTCAACCAATCAAACAAAAAAAAAAAAAACAAAAATCCCAAAGCCCACCAGAAAACCAAAAAGGCCAAAACTGAAAAAAACAAAAAAACCAGAAGAAAAGCAGAAACCACAAACAAAGAAGCAACTGAGCAGCTAAGCAGCTAAGCCCAAATGGCAAAACAGGATGAAACAGGAAAACACAACAAAACAGCACAATAGGAATGGAGAAAAACTGATAAACTGATAAAGCAAAAAACCAGAAAGACTTCAAGACAGCACAGCAGGTTAACTAAAGAACTAAAGAAACGGGTAGACGAGGCAACAAGCCAAAACTCCTAATTAACCATTCAAGAAATCAAGAAAACAAAGACACTGAGACACTTAGACCCTAAGCCCATAATCGCATCAGGGTTTTTGATATAGAAAAATACAAAAATTCACACAACGACGTAACGACGACACTATGAAACTAAACAAAAAAAAAAAAAGCAAAAAGACACAAACACACAAAAAAAGAGATTTTTTTCTTGTTAAACCAACTCTCTAAATATATCTCACAAAGTGTTTCCTAGGATACCATCTTCTATCTGTACCATCACTTTTGCAAATGGAAGATAAAGGATTTATCATTTAAAATTTTTTTTACCATATAATTGGACAGAGGTCAGGCACCGATTACCATACGGAAGAATCTTACCTCAAACCATTTGGAGCCCATTTCCCAAAAACAGATGTGCCCTAGGTCTTTACACTTTGGCATGTTTACTGTATGTAATGAAACATTTTATAGAAAAATGTAAATACATAGTCTGACATGACCAGACTTTGTATCTACCTTCTTACTGGAAACATGCAATTACAAAATTATATACATTAATCATCAGAGACTCTTTTCCTATATATACAAAAATACTGGAGGGGTGCAGTGGACTTGAAGCTCAGTATGTCTAGATTTGAATGTATACCTGATTCTGTCTTCATCATCATTATCATCATCATCAGTTTCTCTCCACTTTTCTTGGTGTGTCGCAGTAATGATGCCACATTGATTATGTCATATATGAGACTCGATTATGAGCCCGTTTGTCTCTGAGCCCCTAACTCCCAGCCACCTCCCAGTAGTGAGGTCACTGGGTTTAGACCAACCATTCTGGGAAACCAATGGACACGCCCTAAAACTGAGAGGTCTGCGTGAATGACACAGCGTCAGAACTCTCAACCGCAAATCCTTCACTGACACACATGTTCCTCTCACAGTCGTCATTGTTAGCCATATCCAGGGCGAAGGGGTTGATCACACCCGCGTTTGAGGTGTGGTCCATCTTCTCCAGCTCCTTCTTCGATAGGGCTTGGACTATTCCAGCTCCAATAGCATCACCCAGCACGTTGATCATGGTGCAAAATCGATCTCTGAATGAAAATAGGGATAGATCCTATTTGTTTCTATAACCAGTTCACCAGACCGTATTGCATGCTGAGCCTCAGCTCACTGGATAACAATGAGACAGCTTACAGGAACCAATCCACTGCAATAAGAAGAGTGACATCACTCGCTGGTAGACCAGCTGCTGTCAGGACAATCACCATGGTTACCAGACCTGCACTGGGCATTCCTGCTGCCCCAATACTAGCCGCTGTTGTAGCGATGCTGTAACCAAAGTAAGCAGAAGACACATCACCGCTATAACGGCTCAGCTGGTATACAAAACAATACAATTATCATATCATCCCCTATTCAACATACCGCATCTGTTTTCCAGATCATTTCCAAAACTATGCACTGTGAGCTCAGTGGCGCACCTGATGATGACGATCCTCCCCACATCCAGGTCATAGTCGTGCAGCTGAGCCACAAATATGGCCGCCACGACCTCGTAGAGCGCGGTGCCGTCCATGTTGATGGTGGCGCCCACTGGCAGCATGAAGCGAGTGACCCTCCTGTCGATCCTGTTGTTCCTCTCAGCACATTGGAGGGTCACGGGCAGCGTGGCCGAGCTAAACATCAGCCGACGAGTTTTTACACAAAATCAGTTGAATGTCACGTTGAACGCTGAATTGAGTAGAGTTAGGTCATAAGTTCAGAGTGAAAGTCAAGAAGTGTGTTATAAATTACATTGCATGGGAATAGTTGTGGTATACACTGTATATGATTGTGAATAACATTTTTTCCATTTTGGTCACACTAAGATTATACTGTAAAAAATAACATTACATCATGGAAATCAATACTTCAGCCTAATATCTCTGGCCGAACAGAAGCAAATATTCGGAGTGGATTTTCTGGACAGTATCAAGGATCCTAAGAATTTCCCATGAAGGAAATAATTTTGAACCCCTTAACAAAATGAGAGTGTCATCAATCAGAATGTGTAAGCTGAGCTTGTGTCTGAGCGAGGGGGTTCGAGACGTCGGACCTGGAGGAAACCGTGAGGGCAGTCAGCAGGGCCTGCATCATGCCCAAGATGAACGGGAAGGGGTTTCTCCTTACAAAGGCGAAGTAGAGTAGTGGCAGGACGACCATGGAGTGGATAGCTAGCCTGTCGGGTGGGAGGGACATTGTGGGTGAGGTCATTTACAGATACGGGAATTTCGTTTTTAATAACGGTGAAATTTTGAACAAATACAAACTTGTCAAACAAAATAAAAGACTATACACAACTTTACATTATCTGTACCTTCATAATGTATTCATAGAACATTCATAAGCAACATGTAAGTATACCTTAACATCCTAACATCCCTTAACAGCTTTAATATACATTAATAACACACATCATATGATAATGATAAACATCATAACTGTATAATCATATAATGTTTGTTGTTAATGTATAATACAGCTGTCAAAGTATGCTAAGATGTTACAGCATACTTACATGCTGCTTATGAATGTTCTATGAATGCTTTATGAAGGTACACTGAATGTTGTACCAATCCATTATAAAGGCACTATGAAGGTACGGTTAATGTAAAGCGTTACCAAATATGGTCACACATTATCTTGCTAACAATGCAAAAACAAGATAATGTGCATGTTCTAGATTTTTTCATGGAGCAGACTTTAGCCATTCAATATGGATGTACAGGCTACCATATTATAGCTTGTTTTGCCCCTGTTCATAACCCCATGGATAGTGAGGTCTGCCCATAGTTTGCTCTTGACGTCGAACCACAACATGTTTCATCCGTCCCTCAACATGGACTAAAGCATGACTTACCCACTCAGTACGGTTGCCATGTAGAGCCCCAACTTCCGGAAGATGTCCCAGTCGTCCACCTGCAGGACCTTGGACGTAATTAGAAACATTGTTCCGACAGGCGTGTACCTGCAAATTAAAAAAAAAAATGTACAGAACAATTACGGTCACCGGATGCTAAAAGGAATCACATCTGAGAAGATACATCAGGGGAATTTGGGTCTCTGAGAACTGCTAAAGTACGTCTTCCCAGGATGCTGGAGAAAGATGGTCCTCACCACATGATGATCTCGACCATCTTCATGGTGGCTTCATTCAAAGCATCGAAGAACTCCACCAGAATGTGGCCTCTGTCTCCCATCTGCCGGATGACCAGCCCAAACACCACGCAGAAGACGATGAGGCCCAGAACATTGATCCCATTGGTGTAGACCCCTACTGTCTCGTAGTCCTTGGTTATATTCTGTAACGTAGACCGTAAATCAGAGTAAACCGTGAATGGCACTAATTCTGACGATTATCACTCTGGATGCTGCTAGCTAACAAAACTGTGAGAATAACCTACACTGGTGGCCAACAATCTTTATAAACAGTTAAAGAATGTTACAAATATCATACATTGGACAATTAAATAAGTAACTGAAGCAACAGTTGAATAAAGTTCTATAATGTCTAGAAACTGGAAGTGTTGCCACAAGTTTGGCCACTAACATAAATTAGTGTGACAATTATATGGAAAGATAAAGAGAAAAATCTAACCGATCCCTTCTTGTGTTTACCGACAATACTTCCGTTAAAAAAAAACACTTTTAATTTTAAGCCGGTTCATGAAGTAAACTGCACGCAGCTACGAGCAAAGTACACCTGCTTCCTCACTGAGTGAGATATGAGGGGACGGGGGTGATACCTACCTCCGTCGGTGCTCTGGTGACATCACAGGGGACGCTCACAGTGACGGAGGCATTGGCCAGTGGCTGACAGGCTTTATCCTCTTTGCGGCTTGTCTTGTACTGTAATTCTCTTGTTTGGTTAGTTACACGTCTATTTTTAGGCAGTTGCCGATTTCTTATTTATAATTGAACATGATTTGTATCAGCTGATGTTTATTGTGGTTGATGTTGATTATTAAAGCACGCTTACCTGCTGAAAGGAAGCCTGGACAAGATTGTCTGGAAACATATTCCTGTTGATTAAATACGAATGCAGTTACACGTGACTTCAATTTCTAAAAAAAAACAGTATACAACCTTAAGTGACAAGGCGTTTTTTTGTCCTGCGTACACAGCGCACTGAAATTCTTACTTTTGTGTTTCCTAAAGGTTGTACAATAATTAGTCTTATTTTAAAATAAGTGAGTATAAATAGTACCTTGAGATTCTCGCTGAGTGAGACCTTCTGAATCAAAAGGCACGACACCGATTCGACACACTTGTGCTTTTCTTTTGTTACCTGAATAGATCCAACAGAACATCCACGGTTCTGACTTGCGGCACGGACCCCGTCCCGTCAGGAATGTCTGCTCGATAGGAAGCCCCTGGCTTGATGGTCGTCACCAAGACAATCCCTGCAAGCCCACGTCAGTCCCTGTGTCATAATCACTCTCCATGACATACATGTCAACCAAACTGCAGTAAGAAAACAGGGAGCTGGCTGAAGGACAACTTGTACATTTAGGTGAAAACCGTGAGTCATCAAAACAGACTCCCTGCGCTTATATCTTTAACTATACTATACTAGTGGCAAGAATTGTGGAAACACTTACAATTTTTATAGATTGCAGAGCTTTGTTCAACTGTTGCTCCAACTACTTATTGAATCATCCAGTGTATGATATTTGTAACATTCTTTGCTTGTTTATAAATATTACCGGCAATATTCGTGCAGTAATTTTTATAGGCCAAAAATGTTTTGAACAATTTTGAACGCTAGTGTATATTATTGTTATTACTACAAAATAACACTTAAACAGATTCACTGACACGTCACAAAACACATAACTTTTCCCAGTTTTGATTTCTTGATACAGTCATGCTGAATGCTCCACTGATCTGAAAATTCTGACAAATAATGCCGTGGGCGTTTTGCATCGGGCTGACTTTTCTCAGTCATTTTGGATGCGACTGACATCAGTGTTGCAAAACCACTTTACTTCCCAGGGTCACAACAGAGACCCCCCCCCCCCCACCAGCATATTGGTTTATAACCCAGAAATGAATACAGGTTAACGAGGGTGGCAGGCATGTTTCTATGTGTATTCAGGAAAGCCTCTGCAGCAAGTTATTTCAGAAACTGAAGAAAACATTCTTGTTCGGTTCATGTACATTGTGTGATGGCAGCAATGACACAAAAAGACGTGAGTCTCACAGGTAAAATGTGAGACTTGACACCTAAAGCACCAGTCAAAATTTGGACAAGCCATGCCACCTACGAAGGAGAGTGGTATGGTCACATCACATGACCTGGTCACCTGACCTAAACAAAGTAGAAATGGTTTTGGAGGAGTTTGACTAGAAAGTAAAGGAAAAGTGGCCAATGAAGGCTCAGCATATGTGGGACCTCCTTCAGGACAGATGGAAAAGCATCCCAGGAGGCCACCTCATGGAACTGGTGTAGAGGGGACAGTAGGGTCAGCCAGTCCCTGGGGCAACTGGGGTTAAGGGCCTTGCTCAAGGGCCCAATAGTGGGATTTTAACTAGCAACTTTATGAGTGTTAACCCACAGAGCTGCGCCCCCCCCCCCCCCCCCCACCCAAAATTATTTTTTTTGTTTGATAATGTTTTGGTCAGTGCATAGTTCCAATGCATAGTTTTAATGTCTATAATTATTCTGAAGTGCTGAGATTAGTACAAATAAACCTTTCTATAGATAAGTGTGTCCAAACCTTTGACTGATACTGTAGGCAGTGCCAAAGGCAACCATTTTGCAAATGACACATCTCTGTGAAGATGTTTGATGGAGAACGAAGACGCAATTCTATTAATTTTGACTGTTATTCTGTGTGTCGACAGTTTGGGTCTATAAGTCAGGAGATGGCTTCGAGGTGTTTTGAACAACCAATTTTCCATGGTCTGACGCAGGGATGTGGCCTGGGGTGTAAAGGCTGGGAACAGCGGCTTACTCACCAAGGACGACCGCGATGATGGTGGTGGAGAAGTAGAACACTAGTGCACGAGCACCGATTCTTCCCAACACCCGAGAATCGAGAGCAGCCACTCCTACGGAAGAAGAGAGGCCCTTTCCTCCCAGAAAAAGACTGCATTCTCGCTTTTTCACTAAACAGTTCACTAAGAGCATGATGGTTGTTCATTCTTGACCTGTTGCGATGCATTGCTAATACAGGTGGTCGTCAACTTACAACATTTGTGACTTACGACTGATCGACTTTATAATCTTTTCGAGGACCGTAAATATGTGGCCCCGACCGTACGACAGTTTCCGCCCCAACTGCCGGCAGCAATGAACTAAGAAAATGGCAATAAAAAAGTTCAGAAACACCAATCAATATGATTTAAAGATGATATAATTGTATGACACAGTATACTATGCTATGCATATGATCATTTTCGCACATAAAATTAAGGACCAACTTACGTCCAACTTATAACCGGTCTGTAAGTCGACGACAACCTGTACGAAACCTCCGCCATATTCCCTGACCTGTTATGATGCTGGAGACGATGAGCGGCAGGATGACCAGCTTCAGCATCCTCATCAGGACCTCTCCTGGGAAGCCCAGATACTGCTTCTGGAGTCGGGACAGGGAGCCATACTCCCGAACCAGAACTCCCAGTCCGACCCCTGGGAGAGACAAACACGGCAGGGGTGTTTCTTTGCAAACTCCAGCCTGGATCTTCTCTGTTTCTCATTGATGAAGGCCTTCTTCCTTGCTTTATGGGACTTCAGTCCTGCTTCTAGAAGCCTGATATGAACCTGTCCTAGCAGTGCACTTCACACCACTTAATCGTTTCATTTTATGTTATCCTCCGATTTATGAGGCACTGCCGGATAAGTTGACGCTCGTCTTTGGCCTTAGAAAGCTGCGTTTACCCTCTACCTGACTGGTTTTTAGTCACTGCTAGTGTCTCCTGCTTCACCGGTGTGTGAATGTAAGTGTGGATGGGTGAATGTGAGGCATAACTGTAAAGCGCTTTGGTACTCGTAAGAGTAGTAAAAAGCGCTATATAAATGCAGTCCATTTACCATTTACCATTCACGGTCTTCTTGTGTACTGCTGTCTTAGAAACTTCTAGACTGGAAACAACCTGCCACACAGTGTAGCCTCTGCCAGCAGAAACAGGATTAACCCAGAATTTAAAAATGCAGATTTAAAAAAATATATATATAGAGTGGTCTCTTAATTTTTACAGAACTGCATTATTTACACTTACTGCATTTTGTCAAGGTAACCAGATAAACCCCTCTGAGCTAGAGTCACTGAATAAAGCTGAAATTAAGTGAATAAGTTCTAACTTTTAGAGATGCTGAGTATCATCTAAAACTTTATCTAACACTTGCTGCACAGACCTCGTTACTGCAAGCTCATAGTAAATCAATGAATAGAGATCTATTAAAATGACATGAATAATGTTTAAATCACAATAAAAAAAACCTCATGCGGAATGGAATAGAAATGTGTATTTTTAACAGGCACAATTGTTACCTCTAGTGATGCAGCACCCTGGTAAACATGCCCCCGTCCCAATATTTTTTAAATGTGTTGCTTACATCAAGTTCAAATTGAGCATATAATTGTCATAAAACAATACGTTTCAACATTTGATATATTGTTCTATTTTCAATTAAACATTGGTTCATATGATTTGGGAATCATTGCATTCTGTGTTTATTTACATTTTACACAGTGACCAAATATAGCATTAATGAGTATAATGAATCATCTTGTGACGGATCGAGTCAGACCAGGCTGGACCACACTGGACCACACTGGACCAAGTCGGACCATGCTGGACCACACTGGACCACGTTGGACCACACTGGACCACGCTGGACCACACTGGACCAAGCCGGACCAGGCTGGACCACACTGGACCACGCTGGACCACACTGGACCAAGCCGGACCACACTGGACCAAGCCGGACCAGGCTGGACCACACTGGACCACGCTGGACCACACTGGACCAAGCCGGACCACACTGGACCACGCTGGACCACACTGGACCAAGCCGGACCACGCCAGCTCCGACTTCTGGCTTTTCTCTTTGCTTTTCTTGCAAACGTGCCAGGGGTAAACGTCTACCAGATGCCCTTTCATATTAATCGGCATGCATAGCGAGCTATATCAGCCCTGTAACTGCTGTTGGTCATTGTCATTACAGGGGGGGCAGAAGTTTAAGCCACTGAGCAGGACAGCCCCCCATTTGTGGAGACCACGGGAACGGAGAGGAGCGGAAATTAAGCAGATCTTAGTATGAGCCAGCTAGCTGGACACAGCTGGAGCCATCATTCGCTCCTGGGATACAGTAACAGCTAAAGAGAGCAGACTTCAAGCCAACATTCCCGGCCGGAAGCCGCTTTCTCCTCCTACTTCATGCACAGAATCACTCACCTGCCAGCACGGACAGAAGGGTGGCCATCAAAAGCCAGTTCTTCCTCAGGAATCTCCTAAACCCCGAAGAGCTCGCCTGGTTCTTCTCCCTCGTCCCCGACGTCTGCCGACTGGAAGCCATGGCGAAAGAGGGGCAGGGGCTGGCAGGCTTGGAGATTTTTGGGGACCGCTGGAGGATGCGGGTGCTTCCTGTGGACTGGGGTGGGGGGCTGCCGCAATGCTCCCTGACCAGTGCGTGCAAGTGTGAGTGTGCAAGCGAGTGTGTGTGTCAGGAGAGCAGCTAGAAGCAGTGCTTTATGTCCACAGTGTGACGTATTACCTCCTTCGCCGGGGGACTTTGTTCCCGGGGGGGGTGTGTTTATTCTGCATGCACTTTACTAGGGTTCAACACCATCTTATTTAATCATCCATCCATCTTTCAAACAAATTGCACCCGGCTTGCAGACACCTTGGACAGGATGCCAGTCCATCATGGGACGCACAGAAGCACGCACTCCTACACACACACACACACACACACACACACATACACACAGGGCATGTGTTCTGTATCACTGCACCCAAGTGTTACCTTAATCTCTGTTGCCTAAGACCCCGTTAACCGAGGCCATCAATGGACCATAAACCGTAGCGCCTTAGAATCGAGGCTTCAGCATAATATAACAAAAATGTCCATCACAGATAGATGAATTCAGGACGCGCACAGCCGAACTTTGTAGTGAAATATTTCATTTTATTCTCATGCCGGATAGTGAGGCGTGTGACCGGAGGGTTAAATCACAACTTGTGGATTAAAGTCCTGACAGGCTGTGCTGACCCTTACAGAATGATCCATACGGGACCAGCAGGATGTCGCTGCGGTACCACTGCTTTATGTGGCCCTTCCCTTTCTGGGATCCTACTCCTTTGAGGTTAACAAACACGGAGGATTGCTCAGGCTTTCTTCCGGGTGCAGATTTACACAAATTTGCTCAAGTAAGTGAAGTTGCGGTACAAATCGGCATAAATCTCTGGCTTTTTCTGGTTCCCCCAGCCAGCTTAGTTAATGCACTGCCTCGTTGGTGCTGTAATGCCGTGCAGATCAGGAGGCTCGCATCCTCTGCACAGTGTTTCCCAATCTGGTGCTCCGGGACCCGTAGACAGTCCATATTTTTGTTCCCTCCCATCTCCCGGTAATGTGGACCGTCTGCCAGGGAGCTGGTAGGGAACAACAATGTGGACTGGCTCTGGGTCCCTCTGAACCGGGTTAGGAAACACTGCTCTAGCACTGAGAAGAACCGAACAAATCACCGTC